AACTGCTGGTTCCCAATTTTTTTTTTTTTTAATAGATGGTACATGTGCTCCCGAGAGAGAGAGAGAGAGAAGAGCATTAGTCCCCTGATAGGATGTGGTCATGCCACAATCCCTTTCCCTCCATTCCTCCTTGTGGTTGCAATGTTGGGCACAAACACACATACCTGACGTGTTTTTCAAGCTGCTGGGGACAGGTTTTGAATGCAGTCAGCCATGTGGGATCCAGCTCCCAACGTACAGGGTAAAGCTACACACTCCTAATGTACAGTGCTGCACCCCACGCACCCTTTTCAAAGTGTATTTATTGAGAGGGAAGGAGAGAGAGGAGCACCCTCGGCAGGGTCTCACGCCACAATCCTTCCCCAGCCCTCCCAACAAGCCAAGATCGGGACACACACGTGCACGTGTCCGGTGTGTACAGGTCACACGACTTCCAGCACGGCAGAGCTGCTGGTGGCCTGGCAGGCAAGTTCCTAGATTTGGTGGCAAAGAGCTGAAGACTTGAAGTCCGATGGCTCTGTTTTCTCTCTGAAATTGGTGATGGACTGAGGCTGAGTCAGAGATTTAAGGAGGCTGGAGTTTCCAGGGAACATGGACAGTGTGCGAGGCAGGCAGCCCCAGAGGTGAGAGACAGAGGAGGCTGGTCCCAGCTGGGGTCTTCAAGCCTGTGCAGCCCTGCAGGGCTGCCGGTTCCAGCACTTTCTGCCCAAACTTGCATCCACCAGCGGATACTTCGTATCGCTAGAGAGCAGCAAACAGCTGCACCCAGGGCTGTTGGTGCCTGGGACCTCAACTGAATAATTCACTTAACTGTTTGGTGATGGAGGTTCATATTAAAACAAACCAAAAACCCCTTAGAAGGCCAGCCCTATCTATCCCTAGCGGTTACGGGAGTCAGATCCCGCGTGGCTGACTGCAGGCTGTGTCTCTGCCCTGGAGGCTTGAAAAGCACGTCGGGGACACGTGTTTGTGTGCCCCAAGTCCCAAGATGAGAAATGAAGACAGGGCAGTGTATCATTAGGGGGTGCCTTCTCCTTCTCTGGCGAGCACGTGTTCCCTCTGGCAATTAAAAAACAAAAATCTTAGAAACAACGGAGAAGACACAAGGGAACTATTTATTGATTCCAGGCTAAGCCCCCACCTCTCGTCTCTTTCTCTCGGAGGGGTCAGTATTCCCTGATGGAGAGAGCCGTTGTCATGGGGGCAGTGTTCCTCGAGGCACGTTGAGGCTCAGCCCTGCGGGTTCAAGGGTAAAAGTGAAAAACTGTGGAAAATCGTGCATCAGCGTCCTCTGGATGCTCTCAGGCTGCGTTCACATCCGAAAAGTTAACAGAAGACTTGGATTTTGTCTCAACGTTGCAAACCACAGAGCTCTCTTCCCAACATACTCCATCACCACTCCGAACCAATAGTTAATGGGTTTCACTTTTTTTTTTTTTTTTGAGAGGTTTTTGCTATAGGGCGCGTGCACTCGCCAGGAAGACAGAGACAGAGAGACAGAAAGTGAGAAATCACCCCCCAGGTGGGATGGCCACGCGCAATCCCTTTTCCTCCATTCTCCTCTCAGAATCTTGGGCACATATGCACACATGCCTGGCATGAGTTTAAGCCATCGGGTCCAGGACTTGAACCACAGTCGACGACGTGGGAGTCCAGCGACATAGCCAGTATGCCAACTGCTGGATTTCACTTGAACATGCGTTTGTCAACTAAATCGCTGTGCAGTAGAATATGGCGATGAGTCCAAGCAAAACTAACTAGCCGTGGTCGTCGTTGGGCATTGCCGGGTTCCACAGCCCCTTGGCCCCCTAATAGGTATGCCCCGAACGACTGTCATTTCAACAGCTAACTCCTGAGGAAAACCCTCAGCCTGTTAAAGAGTGAGCATAATGCGTGGCATGAACAGAAACACTGGAAGTCTGTGAGAAAACCCACAGTCCAAGAGTTAGCTCGGATCCAAGAGTGTACTGAACGCACTGCAGACGCGCATTCTCCCCTCCAGACAGAGCCTTATAAGGTGGCCTGACATTTTCTCATGGCCCAGGCCACCCTCCAAAAATATCCAGAGACAGAGTAAGATGGGAACTGACCTCCCCGAATGTTTCAAACATTAACAAGCAGGCTCGTCATTAAGTAGGAGTGCTAACACCTGCTCTACAGCCCAGCCGAAAGCTCAGCGTTTTCAAACCAAGTAGTCTGCAGGATAGTGACCGGGAGGGCTCTGCAGCTGGAGACCAGACTGGCCTTACAGCATCTACGCATCCGAGCTGGTCTCTTGGCTTTGAAAGTGTTATTTCCTGACTCCTTACAGAACATGCTTTCAAATATGTCTTTGCTTTATATGGACAATAAAGACCCGTGACTAATTTTCCTTAGTGCGCTTTTCTGCCTCTTTCAGTGTCCTCGGGCAGAAGCTGTTTTCCATACGCCTTTGGTTCCCAAGGCCCTAGATTGCTTAGGAGGTGCTGCCCCCCCGTGGGAAAGCCTAGCCATGACAACACGGAGGCAGAAAAGGTGTTTGTGGATACTCCCAAGCGCAGCAGCATCTGGAAGTACATCTGGATTGCATCCACCCGAGGCTAAAGAGAGATGTGAAAATACTCTGTAATGAGGGAAATAAAACTTGCCAACATAAAGATTTATGAAATGGGTACTAGGTGTTTAAATACACAGCTTCTCATGCTTAGTTTTGCTTATCAAAGGAGAGACTTTAGGGTGAATGGATTTTCACGGAAAGATGGTATTTTAGGCAATTAGACTTGCCCCCATAACAGTAAGGGCATCTTTCTAAATGAAAGGAAAAAAGGCAAATAATTAAATAGTATTTCACATTTTAAAAAAAGAAGCATTGGTCAAAAAGCCACACAGCTCTCTCCCCTAATTCTGGTTCTCAGTGGTAGGCAGGAGAATGTTAATAGGTATGGCTATTTTTGGTAATAGTTGCTTAGAACAATTTCTTCACCACCAAACTGTATGACAATGAGCCAGGCTATTTGTAAGGCTGAGGGTTATTTTTTTTTCTTTTTAATAATATGAGGAATTGCAAAGCTAGTCTTCATTCTTGTTAAAGGGAACAGAACAACACAGCAGTATTTTTGGAACGCTGCGTGTAACAGCAGGCCTCTTAATTATACCAATGGTAATTCCTCCAGGCTAAGGCTTCTGTTAACACAGTACACATAATTGCCACAAAATATGACAATGACAAATTACAAAGCCCCAGTATCCCATTACCACCCTAAGATTGTAAGGTCGTATGTATTTTCTGGGTAGTCTCTGTATTATTTACCATCTGTTCCTCAGTTGTGTTGCAGGAATTTTATTCTTCAAAAAATGAAAAAAAACAAAACCAAAAAACTACCTCTGAAACAGGAAAGACTACATCCGGTGAGAGACGTAGTCTCTCCCTGTGCTGGGAACATCGAGGCTCTGACCAGAATCTAGACAGGACAAAGGAGGTGGCACTCCCGCGATGGTGCGGTTAGCCCTGAGAGGGGTGGACCCGGTCGGGAGGACAACACGGCCAGCCCCAGGGGAGGGCACCCAGAGTTGACCAGAACCTGCTCGGAGCCCTCAGGGCTTGCATTCTGAGGGGAAAACGTGAGGGTTCGGAGCCAGGTCAGAAGTGACCCGCTGAGAAGGTCCTAAGTCAGTGCTTCCTGGGAACTTAGAATAAAGCAGTTCCTGGATGGTTCTGGTTGGAGGCATTTTCAGGACGAGGTGCTTAACTTCAGCACTTTTTTTTTTTTTTTTTGGTCATAGTGTGTATGCGCTTGCTGAGACAGAGACAGTGAGAAATCACACCAAAAGGGATGACCATGCCACAATCCCCTCTCTCCATTCCCCTCTTGGGACTTTGGGAACACATGTACATGCTCCTGGAGTGATTCCCAAGTCACTGGGTCCAGGACTTGAACCACAGAGTTGGCCATGTGGGATCCAGCTGCCCTAAACTCCTTGCCACCTGCTGGCCTATACTACAGCTGGTTCTAACGTCAGATGAATATTGCTGGCCAGCAATATCTCCCCTCTCAACTTGTGTTAGAACATCACATAAAAACAAACAAATCCCCTCCCCCATTATATGACAAGGGTTCTCAGCTTTTTGCTGATTAATCTCTTTGATTCTTCGGTCGCTTGCATGAGGAGTCCTTCTTCAGTCTCTGAAGCTTACAGGCTGGTTTGGTAAGCTTGAAGACTGGCAGGAAACAAGGACTTTTTGGAAACCTCTTAATATAGCCTGTTTTTCCTGTAAGTGCAGAACCATTATGAATAGCAGAAATAGATTTTTAAATTGTCTAAGAAAGAGCTGGAATCCTTAAGAGAATTGAAACGCTTCCATATCTCGGCCAACACCACATTCAGGCCTATTGAATGTGAAATACGCACTGGTCAGTATTTCAAATCCAGGCAGAGCGCACATCAGTTTATTTTGAAATGCAACACAGATTTTATGAATACAACTTATTACATTAACATTATCAGGTAGAAACAGCTTTCAAATGCATGCATAGAAAGTTAAGCAGTCTCTGAACTCCTTATTTCTAAATATACAAAAAATACATTTAAATTATATAATTTTAGTGAATCAAAGACTTATAAAATTACAATTTTGGTTTTCACAACATAGAAAAAATACAAAAATGACTATATATCTTGTTGTATAATTTTTTTTACCCAAATTTCAAAGGAGCAGTATGTATTGAATCTCATGTTTTATCTGAAACTCAGGATTGAAAATAATTTGCAGGTTGAACCACATCAAGACCAACCTTTTATTAGAAATAACCAAAAAAAAAAAAACCAAAAACAAAAAACCAAAATAAAAACAAACAAAAACACCTCAAGTGAAAAATGAGGGCACACTTTCTTCGTGTGCCTCTTCAGAACACTCCGCATTGGCTCAGCCTTCCCGTCAGAAGTTCGCTTTAGAGGAACTTTCTCATCAGGAGGACGGTGCTTTATCCTGTGACCGAGTCTCCACGGTGCCTTTGATCATGGTTGGTACATGTTAAATGAATGATCCCAGTCTTAGCAAACGGAACACAGCAAGATGCAGATGAGCCGCGCGTGTCTACAAAGCACCACTGCAGACCTCAAAGCATTCTGTCAGGAGGCTCCACAGAGGGGGTCGGAAACACAATGGAGGGGTAGCCGGGAAGATGGTGCCTTTGACTGTGCCCTGAAATGAAACTGCTAAGTCTGACAAAACACCATCAAACACCACGTTCCTGGTTCACACTTTATAAGAAGATGTGACATTTGGTGGGGTTGGATGTTCCCGATTTATAAAAGAACACCACTACTTTAAGGGAGAAATTAATTCGTGTTAAGGATAAAGAAAGCAGTTACTCAGAGAGGTTACTGAAGGACACGGTGACATGCCTTATCTGCTGTAAGTATTTTAAATGTTGGTGTATAAAAATACACGCTGGGGGTGAGGCCCTTTTTGAAAAGGGAGTTGTTTGCCGTGTTCTTGTTGTCAGGGTTCAGTTTGATGCAATGGATGTTTTTCATAAATGGTGACAAATTATAATAGAGGTGCCTGAATAAAACTCCCAGTCCAGTAGCCCCAGAAAACTACATTTTTCATCTCATCTTTGATAGTTATTCCAAAAACAATTAAAAAAATCTTAACTGAATAAAGTAATAAGGCAAAGATAACCTGCAATTCTATTTTACAGTAGAAATACATTTTCCAAGAATCAAAAGAGAGAAAAAGCCTGACAAATCATCTTGCCAACATATTTTATCTGTCAAACACAAGGACGGATTCTAATCTTGACATACCCAAGTTAGGAAGACTGATTTTAAGAAGCAGAATCTTGATATTTAATTCAAAAATAATTTATCACACAGCTGCCTGCATTAAATTTTTAAGCTTCTATGAAAATAAACATTTAAAAATTTAGCTTTCCATTGTGACACTTTTCTGATACTAGCAATGAATGACAACTACTCAGTCAGCTAGACCTTCACACTCTTCAAAGAGCAACAATCCCCCCCCCCAAAAAAAAGAAAGAAACAAGGCTTGGGAAAGAAAGTACTGTGTTTTGAATCCAATGCTCATCTAAACTTGGGTTTTACGCCTTCATCCAGCCTTTCTTGAAGGGTTTACAATGCGCAGTTGAGCGACTACATGGTACGAAGACACAGCATTAACGAGGGGACGTCCACAGGACCAAGCTATTGGTATTTGATGGCTGTACCAACACATGCAGATGACAGCCCTTAGCTCACCACCACCCCGCGGGGACATTCTACTGTCTCTGGACTTACCACTTGGTGGGAATTAACACTGACCATAGTAAGGAAAAGCATTCAAACAGAAGAGTGAGTGACAACCAAAACATAAAATAAGAAAAAGAAAGTACGAACAGTGTATAAAATATTCTTGCATGTTTTTCTGGACCGCAACGCCTTCCATGTGCTTTCAGTAAGAGATTCCCTACTCCTGTGTGACTGGATTGGCTTCGGGTCCAGAAATGCGACTAGAGATTGGCAAATGCATTACTCGGAGGTGCTCTGAGAACTGTACTGTGAAAGGTACTCATCACTTACAAGCTACTGAGCTTCCCCTTGCCGACAACGGTCATTCTGTTGAAATATGATTGAGGCTGAGCTCCAGAGAAGGTAGGTTCCTTACAACGTACACATACCTATGAGATTCAAGCACGTTTCTTAGTGGCAGGCAGTCATGACTCAATTGGAAACAAACAAAAGGGTTCTAGTTTTCTGATTGTGGGCACTACCCCGAAGCTTCACAGGCATATACGTTTTATAATTCATTCACTAGATAGGAGGGGCTAGGTCCCAGCCATAACTTCAGAGCATTCCATAGAACAAAGTTTGCCGCTTCAAAAAGACAAATAGTTTCCAGCATGCAGTCAAGCACTTTGAAGAGGGAATGCTAAACACACTGCAGACTGAAACATAACTACTGCGAGCTGGGCACTCAGCTGGGACGGGTTCAATACTCGGCCTGTAACTCTCAGGTACTTCGTGTTACAGATCTTTATCAGATACGTGGAGGACACAGGAGGGTATAAAATGCCAAATCCCTTTCTGGTGCCATCGTAAATAGTGGGAACTTCTGGTTGAAAGAGCATGCTGAAATGGACCAGCCAGGATGTTTTACGTAACAGCCTTTTTTTTTTTAATTTTTTTTTTATAAAAGCCCAGGCCCATGTGACGCTGGATTTTTGTTTTTGTTTTTTAAATATTTTAAAAATAGTTCTTACTTATTTTCTATGAAACGTATTGGGAACTCAAAAAGTCTGCAGCATTGTTTGATAATTGAAAAGTTTTTTTTTTGGGGGGTAGGAAGGTGCAGAAAGCAGGAACTATTCAAATTTCTTGTGTTCTTCAGTATGAGAAAGGACCTTTCTTCTCTGGTGTATCATGTGGAAGTATAACTGGGGAAAAACTGAAAAGAAAAAAGAAAAAAATTGGTTACAGAGATCATTTAAAATGGATATTCAATGGGAGCTCGTGACCGTGCGGTCCTCTCTGACCCTCTGCCACTTTCTTGTCTAGAAACCAAGGAAGACAGCAGCGTGGGACTGAGGAAGGGGAGGGGGAACACAGAGAGACTTAGCTTCTCCTGCGTTAGCCACGGGAGAGTGGTGTGGAGTGGAACGACAGTCACCGTCATCACTGTAATTACCAATCAAGATGTCACAGAGCTGCCAAATAAAATTCCCAAATCTCTCACGTTATCTTCACATTTATTCTGATTAATTTCACAACCAGGGGAAGCATTCTAATGATGGAGTTGGCTACTCCGATTTCAAAGAGGAGGAGCTGGCCCAGGGAGGGTGGGTAACGTGTAACGTGGCTCACAGCATCACTTACAGGTAGGGGCAGGCTCAGGCCTCCTGATCCTCTGCCTAGCCCCCTCTGTCACTGTGGGAGAGGACTCTCCCAGAAGTTCGTCCCAAGAAAAGCTGTTCTTTGAGTGGGAAGACTGAGGACGGAGGGGTGCTAGGGCATTTAACCTGAGTACAACCAAGCCAAGTCTGAATGTAGAAAAAGCCCTTATCATGGCAAGTCAGGATCGCAGGCCTAGAGAGCCTCTGTTCTTGCTCATCTCATAGAATACCTTCAACAGTACCGGCTCTTCAGTCAACAGGGCGGTACTGCCTTTCTAGGGAGCATCTGTAAATGAGGGAAGCCCCTGGGATTTAGCACACAGGGCCAGGGGCACGGCAACATCCTGCCTTGTGTGATGGAACCTGACTACAAAGAGCTGTCCCACCCTAAACGCCTGTGGGTCCCGGCTGGGTACGGCCAGTTTGAGCTAGCTGGTCTTCACGAGGTTACTGTACGCTGGGGTCAACCACCGCACAACGCCGGGAGGGCGGTGCCTTTCCTTCCTTCCCCCTCAACAGCGCAACAGCTCCTATCTCTATTTTTAAAGGAAGTAATCTATATTTTGGGGTGGTAATTTCTACTACTGCCAGCTCTCTCCTGAGAATTTCTTCCTTTTTAAACAGGTTCCAGGTTGGCCAGATTTCAAATGATCCTCCACAAGTGCCCCGAGGCATCAGCGGGTGTGTGTGCGGGGATCGGATGAACTGCCGAGGAGGCCTCCTTGAGCTGCGCTGCCATCCACTCCACTTGCTATTTCTAGGCAGGAAGTTATTCACAGAAAGGACCTGGTTTATGCATATAATTCAGCAGTGAGGAACTATTTTGGTACGAAAGCCAGAAAATTTGACAAGCTCTATAATCTTAAAGCTGGAAGTAAGGATATAATTAAACCATAAGGAATGCTAATTGCCATCATTTAAAAATGTGAGGCCAGTCATATTTCTATAGAGCCCTCCAGTGAAAGGAGCCGTGGTGAGCTAGGGTGCTAAGGACTTCCCACTGCTGGGCTTTCTGACTACATTACCCCACGGGGGTGGCTGCAGCCTCCAGGCCTTTCGGGGGGCTGGGGGAGGAGATGACCTCGGAGCCACTCATTAGGCCCTTAGTGGCCGTTAAAGCAAGAAGACAGTCATACACTGTCACGTCCCTGGGCCAGGACCTGTCGGCTACCAGAAACAGGGCAGATACGGCCCTTCATTGCTTTCCATCTCCCAGAGGCCCTCGGTGCCCGAGAGGACGCTGTGCAGGAGGCCAGGAGACTGAGGAGCGTGGGCTGTTGTTTCCTACAGCTCTAGCCGCGACGTCTTGGTGGCTTGAACCCTGATGCTCTGTCCATCTGAATTACCGACGTGTTCGGGCTGAACCAGCCATAATGGCTGGAACAATTCCAGGTGCATGTCTACAATCACGTCAGGCCACACCGACGACCGTGAAGAAGACCTCTACCTGACAGCAGGCTATTGAGACGTCTGCCTCCTCTCTCCTGGCTCAGGACACAAGTGAAGATAGTCACTGAGCGTGCCGCATGTCTGTCCCTGTGTGTGGAAGGCAAAGGGGTTGTGGGTACTCCTGGGCTTTCGTCCCTTTACCATGGCCGATAACATTTAGGGCTCCCTTCCGCTCCAGGAGGAGGACTACTGTGCAGACGAGAGCATCTGCAAATGCTCTGCCTCTCCTCGGTGCCACAGATCGGAGGTGTGGTTCCTGACAGCCAGGTCAGTGCCAGCTTCTCGGAGTCCTCCCTATAGCAGGGCTTCCCATGCTTTTCCTGTCCCCTCCCTCATTACCAATTGGCACCAATTTGCAGGTAAATTTCAATCGGACTTAGACACCCGCTGAGTCCTGCAGAGTGTGCTGTAGTGACACTGGGGATGCTGCGACTGGGGCAGGATGGGGAGGAGCACCTTGCCAGGGTCTCCAGAGACCCAATGCGAGTCTCCTGGAGACCACAGCCAGGAGTCACAGCCCAGGCTACGTGTGCAGTGATCAGGACCATGAAGGAAAGGTGTTACTTTACATAGTACGCGTACACCAGCAAAGTCCCATTAACGACAATTACAAGAATGCTAAGTTGGAGAAAGAAGACCAGATTTGGTAAAGGAAACTGCCTGTCCTAATTCTGCATTTTCTTCTTATAAATACAAAGTTTTGGAAAGTTGGGAACGTGAGGTTGGCTGGAATGAACTGCACAAAGTAGTCTCAGTAGTAACAACCTGAACTCCCAGAAACATCCATGGCAACTGGCCAGGCCGGAAGCACCGCGAGCACCAGCAGCCTGATGCTGACTCGTGCAGGAGCAGAGTCTCAGTGCCACCTCGAACCTGGGCAGGGAGTCAGGGACTAAGAGGGCCTTCGTGCACCTTTCTATGATACCCACCCTTTCTCCTGGTCTACAAGAGTGAAGCTGCCTTACAAGAAGAAATTATACCTAGTGCTCTATCCAAAAAAGGTGGAGAAGCAGAAAGGCGTTGGGGTCATGAAAGCAGACTTCCGCTGAGAGACGGGTCCTACCCTTTCCTCTAAGGTTCTATTTCCTATTTTCTCTCTTCCACGTCAGTCTGTCTGCTATTTAGTTTGCTATAGAGTGCATGTGGTCACCAGAGAGAGAGACAGGGAAAGTGAGAAATCACCCCCAATGACGATAATCGTGCCACAATCCCTTCTCTTCTGTTCTCCTCTCAGGATTTTCGGCACGTACACATGCCCAGCATATTTTTCAAACCTCTGGGTTTGGGACTCAAACTGGGCAACAGGCTATGTGGGATCCTGCTGCCTTAACCTCCACGCCACCTGCTGGCCCACTTCCTAGCCTCTTTCAAGGCTAAGAAGAAAAATCCCATGGAACTGGGGTTTTCCTCGGGAATCCTATCAGCATGGGAAGGCTGACCTATGCTTGACCAGGCCCTGCCTCTACATCAAGAGGTCACTAGGGAGAGGCAAAAGGCTTGGCACTAGTTGGTCACTAGAGCACAGAAAAGACTAACAGCTGCAGACAGACAGGAAATCTTGTAGAAACTCGAAGGGGGGAATCCCTGGATTTTTGTTAAAGTGGAAACATCTTATTATAGGTTTGATTTCACAGTATCCTCTCTGCCCTTCCCCCAGTTATCCAATATGATATATATCTCCTATTCATTCAAAAAATGTGTTGAATTGAAATAAACCCTATAGTGCTCAGTGGGCTCACAGGTGTTATTCTGGGTGTGGTAAAACTGCAACTGTGAATTGTTGCTCTAGAGATGGAAAATGAAACTGTAAGAAATGGAACCGGAAGGTAGTATAGTGGTTAAGATGCTGGACTCCCTTGAGGTTGACTGCAGCTTGAGTCCCAGATCCGGCAGCTTGAAACTCACTCTGGGTGTATGTGTGTGCATGCCCAAAATCCCAGGAGGAGAATGGAGGAGAAGGGATTATGGCACGACTATCCCTCTGGGACGCGATTTCTCGCTTTCTCTCTCTGTCTCTCCGGCCAGTGCATGTGCCCTATAGCAAAAATATCTCAAAATAAAAAAAAAGAAAAGAAAAAGAAAAAAGAAACTGTAAGAAAAAAAATTTAAAAAGGTGAAACTAGAAGCTAAGTTTTGTTACTTAAATTTTGGGAACTCTTTTGCACTTATCTTTTGTTTGAAAATCAACTACCTTTCACATTTGGAGAGAGATGGCCTTTAGCCACCAGGGCCCCAGCACTACAGAGGAGGACCTGACCATGGGTAAGGGGCAGCAAGTGAACCATGAAGCAGAACGGCATTCGAGAACTCCTGGGATGGATGTTCACATGAAATCTGGATGTCACTCTTTTCTCACAGTGTGCGACGTGCCATTTTCCACCGAGGGACACAAACATGCCGCTTCTGATTGTCAGGATGATTCACTCAGATAATGCTGTAGGCTAAAAAAAAAAAAATCCAACCCTGCCTGAACTTAACTTGGGATTTAGGGGAGAATACAGCACCCTGTAGAGACTGAAGGAAGACCCAGGGTTACAACGGCTACGGAAATAGCTACGTGAGAAAAACACTAACACTCCGTGTCCTTGGGCACACGGAGATCTTTTTGGGATGTAGAACATCAGAATTCAAGAAGAGGACTCAACTCCTTGCCCTCATCAAATAGGGCCCCCTCACAGAAGCACCAGACGCGCCTCTTTACCTCTGCCCCTGAGTATGCTGAAAGGCACATCTGATCACCTATGTATGCAAACTTCTAGCAGTATTATGAAAATATCTGGAAACCATCCTGAAGAGAACATTATGTCCCATTCGGATGGTTCCGGAGCTCAACAAGAAAATGAGAAATACAGAAAAAAAATCTATTTTTATTTTGTTATTCGTTTCCAGTTAACTACCCATACTTTCAAAATGCAGTACCTGTCTATTTTGATATAGTAAACAAAGCAAAAATCTTCTTACAATGTTTTTCAAATACCATAATAAGTGGTTCTCAAGAGACTGAAAAATAAAAGCAAGGTAAGGTCTTGAAGGGTCTTTTTGTTTGTTACTCAGTACCTTCCTCCAATATGTAGTTAACCTACCTCGGTATTTGCGGTTTCAAACCCACACGCTGAGAAGTGTTGCATTTTGGCAGCTGCATGGAGAAGGGTTCATCTTTATTCAGTTACCACCAGAGAAAATTCCCTCTGACAGTCGGCATTCAATTAAAACCAAAGCGTTCCCAATAAATTAGATTTACATGTACTTGGATATGGTACAAAAACAATCAAAGACATTTAACTCCAGTTACTGTAGAGCCACATTTTAAGGCATAAGGAAATACGTGCACAACTGTTTACTTACTTGGAATGTAGGAGATCATGATCAGAATTAGGAATGCATAGTAGTCAAAGGAGAAATTGTATCTGTTAGGTAAACTGATGGAGTACAGGCCAGCCTGTCTGACGAAGGGCAGAGCTGCGTATATTGTGAGCAGCTCTCCTGACACTCCCATCGGGTACAGCACAATGAAAAGTGTGTATCTAAAACAAAGCAAGATAGGGCAGGAAGCCAGCATTAGTAGAAAGACACATGATCATCTGTCTAATCAGTTCTGCTGTTTTAGAAAGCTGTTGTTTATAAGTGCTCCTGGTATGGACAAAAAAAGGATGCAGTATCAAATTGCTATTGAATAGCTGATAAGAACAAATCCCCAGGCAAGCTGGTGACATGGTGGTTAAGGCGGCTAGAGTCCACATGGCTGACTAAATGGTTCAAGTCCTGAAACTGGCAGCTTTGAAAACAGGGCACTTGTGCTTGTGTGTCCAAAATCCTAAGAGAAGAATGAAGGAGAAGGGATTGTGGGGTGGACATCCCCCCAGTATGTGTTTCCTCACTTTCCCTTCCTCTGTCTTTCTGGTCAAAGCAAACTAAGAAAAAAAAAGGAGTGACTCCCAATGAAAATAGCTTAAGTAAAATATAAAAAAATTAAAACAGGTTTCTATTATTCAAAGCATTCAGACAACCTTATCCTGATAAAATTTACAGATCAGATTTCTACCTGACCCCTGCTTCATACAAGTTTAGTTTAAGCAATTTGGAGGCAATATTTAGGCAATAAAGGACAAATGCAGAGGGTGATCATTTCTAACCTTAGTCTTTTTTTTTTCTTTTTTTGGAGAGTTTTTTTTGTTTGTTTGTTTGTTATAGGGCGTGTGCACTCGCCAGAAAGACAGAGAGAGACAGAGAGACAGAAAGTGAGAAATCACCCCCCAGGGGGGATGGTCACGCCGTAATCCCTTCTCCTCCATTCTCCTCTCGGGATCTTGGGCACGCACGCACACGCGCCTGGCGTGAGTTTTAAGCCACCGGGTCCAAGACTTGAACCACGGTCGACTACCTGGGAGTCCAGCGACATAGCCATTATGCTAACTGCTGGTCCTGCTAACGTTAGTCTTCATCCCATATGGGTTTTTTTTTTTTTTTTTTTTTTCAAGAAAAACAGTTTTTATGGACTTTTTTCCTCCTGAAACTTTTAAAAAATTAATTAATTTACATTCATCCCCTAAGCATCATCACAGCATACAAAATGTGACTTCCCATGCAGAATATACTGCATAGTAGCTTTTTTTTTTTTTTTGGTAGAGGTTTTTGCTATAGGGTGTGTGCGCTTGCCAGACAGTCAGAGAGACAGAAAGCGAGAAATCACCCCTCAGGGGGGATGGCTACACCGCAATCCCTTCTCCTCCATTCTCCTCTTGGGTTCTTGGGCACGCATGCACACGTGCCCGGCATGAGTTTTAAGCCATTGGGTCTGGTACTAGAACTGCAGCCAACTACATGGGAGTTCAGCAATATAGCCATTATGTGAACTGCTGGTCCCCATAGTGGCTTAATCATGCATGTTATCATCAATAATTTTCCATTTCTAGTTATATATATATATATTTACACCTATGTCACAGAAAGTGAGAAAGCAAGCCACCCACCAGGTCCGGGACTTGAACCATGGTCAGCCATGTGAGAGTGCCCAGTGCCCTAACACCACGCCACCTGCTGGTCCCCCCCATATGCTTTTTTACCTTGCCCATTTGATGAGGTAAGGCAGGTGGTTTAACAGACTGAATGTGTAAAAGGAGTAACGGATAATTTCTGTGATTGTCCAGGCAATTACAAACAGGAGGACACTGTCTTCACTCTGAACCTGAAGGCGAAGGAAAACAAAAACAAAAGCAAACACATAAACATGTGAACCAGGAGGCACTCACAATCTGCAGCCCTCTTGCAGAGCTCTGTGTGTGTGTGTGGGGGAGGGCGGACCAGCCACTGGTCTGTATGCTCAGTGCCACAGCACAACACAGTAGCAAAGGGACGAACATGGGTGACAACAGGGGTGTGGAGCCCAGGGGTAAGGGGCAAGGGGGCAGGGGCTCAGCTTACTGCGGGGCACAGCAGAGGGAGATGGATGAGCCGTGGCCCACAGAAAGAATCAAACACCATGAGTTTCTGTGCGTTTGCTCCCCAGCCTGATGCAGAGCATGTGAACTTTTGTCAGGGGGCGTTAAGGGTGAGGTAAGGAGAGTGGGAGGGCTAAGAGGTGGCAAGCTTGTGATCCATTACCCAGAATTTTAATTTGATTCGCATGACAACTGGGAATCCAAGAGAACTTCAGAGAAGAGGGTGTAGAGATCCAAGCACAATTGGGGATGGGGCTAATTGACTGGGGGGACAGATTCAGGTGAGGGAAGAGCTGGAGACCATCTGTGAGACAGGGCCAAAGTGTGTTCTTCCATGGGTGACTTCTTCCCTGAGGACAGGCTTGGTTTAACTCCTCAACTACCACAGAAGTTTCCAGGTTGATTGCAGGAGGCAGCCAGAGCCGGAAGAGCTTTGAAATTCCCAGCCTCCTCTAAAGTTGTTTTTATGCTGAAAATTCAGTAAACTTTAAACTTTCTTTTTTCCAGGAGTTCTCTTGCATAAAAATTTATTGCTGTGGCATTAACTTGGAGTACCTCCCACATCCCACCCCAGCTGGGTTTATAGTGATCTTTTGTGCCTAAAAATCGATGATAGATAATAACCTGGCACTCCAATTCACTTGAGTTTCCATGCATCTAAATACTTGGGCCGGCAGTGACAGTGTGGTTAAGACGGCTGGATCTCACATGACTGACTGCATAGTTCAAGTCCTGGACCTGGTGGCTTGAAAAACAAGCCAGGCATGTAGGTGTGCATGCCCCAAATCCCGAAAGTAATGAGAAACAGCAAAGAAACTGTGGGATGATCATTTCCAGGGAGGAAGATGCTTTGTCACTCCCCCTACCTTTCTGTCACTCTCTGGCGACTGCATGTGCCCTCTGGCAAATACAAAATAATAATAATAATAGAGGCCGGCAGGTGGTGTGGTGGTTAAGGGCGCTGGACTCCCACATGGTTGATCACGGTTCAAGTCCCGGACCTGGCAGCTTGCTTTCTGACTTTCTCTCTCTCTCTCTGTGTCCCTCTCTGGTCAAATTAAAATAAATAAATAAAGTTAAATAAAAACAGTTTTTTAAAAAAAAATAATAAAAATGACCTGCGAGTTGGACGTGAATTAGAAATCCCACTTGGTAAATAAACGGAATGAATCTCAACTCCAAGATGGACTTTCTCTGTCTCTCTCAACATCTGCTATAGCAAAGGTATGGCATTCTAGCTTTAACTTTTGCTTCTTTCCACTTGCAATGCTAATCGTTTTTAGCACTTATATTCTTTCTCAGAAAGTGTACATGGAGTGATCCACCTACACAATGAAATAAGTAGTCATTTACATACCTATTAACTAAATTGCTCTGACAAAGAACTTCATAAATGCATAGTTACTATTCTCTAAAAATAATAAGAATTTTATACTGTCAAGAGCAAGAGTACTTTCTGTTTTCCTGGTGCTCTTATATTAGCCCAAGTGAAGCAAAAGCTAAATTCTAAAGTTTCCATGGGGAGATTTTTCAGTCTGTCCCTAAATCTTTGCTTAAAACCCATCAATACTTAAATATCATTTCAAAGCACACTTTGCTTTTTGATGTGTTTTGTAATCGTCCTATCTCAGGGAGATAACATTCTACAGCTACGGGCTCAAGCCTTGACCAAGACGGCTGGGTTATAAAAGGAAGTGCTCTAATATTCTGTCACGCATTCATCTTGAAAGCAGGGAGTGTGTTATATTCATCTTTTGTTTTGCAGAAGCACTTTGTGCTTTTCACAAGTCGGAGTGCAAAAAATATTTGTGGAGCAAATTAACTCAATCCCAATCAGGTCATACTAAGATTCAGTTCCCTTCTTTTTCATGACTAGTATTAGTTTCTATTACTCTATCACCTTAGTGGCCCTCTGACCCCAGAAATTGGTTATTTGATTCCTTCCTCCTTTTGCAAATTGGACAAAGCCAGACTCAGGTTCAATATGAACACAGTCTGCTCCCAGAGTCCGGCTATGAAGGCCAGTTCCTGAGCCTTTTTTTGGGAGAGTTTTTGTTTGTTTGTTTGTTTTTTTGCTATAGGGCTTATGCGCTTGCCAGAAAGACAGAGAGACAGAAAGTAAGAAATCAGCCCCCAGGGGGGATGGCCACGCTGCAATCACTTCTCCTCCATTCTCCTCTTGGGATCTTGGGCACGCACGCACACATGCCCGGCATGAGTTTAAGCCACCGGGTACGGGACTTGAACCATGGTCAACTATAGGGTCGACATGGCCATTACATCAACTGCTGGTCCCCAGTTCCTGAGTCTTTACAAAAAGACTGTGGATCGGGTAAATGATCATATTGTGAAAAATTATTATTTTCAGATCAATAGGAAATGCAATATTGTTATCAAGAAGGTACTTAGAGGGAACCAGCAGTTTGCGTAATGGTTATGTCGCTGGGCTCCCATGTAGTCGACCGCGGTTCACGTCCCGGACCCAGTGGCTTAAAACTCATGCCAGGCGCGTGTGCGTGCGTGCCCAAGTTCGCAAGAGGAGAATGGAGGAGAAGGGATTGCAGCGTGACCATCCCCCCGGGGGGGTGATTTCTAGCTTTCTGTCTCTATGTCTCTCTCTGTCTGGCAATCGCATGTGCCCTATAGCGAAAAAAAAAAAAAAGAAGGTAGAGATCAATCTTATTTGACTGGCAGATAATTATCCAATAACACAAAATGGGCAAAATATTAATATGAATAAATTAAAGCCAGTGAGATCAATAAGACCTGGACATATATTTGTGGACTCGTCTTTACCGCAACATTATTCACAACGGTCTAAAGGTGGAAGTAACCCAACTGCCCAGCAACAGATAAACAGATGAACAAAATGTGGTAACGGAGTATTTTTCAGCCTTAAAAAAGAAGGCAATTCTTACAGCATCTACAACATGGATGAACCTCGATGATACTACACTAAGTGAAATCAGGCCGTCACTAAAAGACAAGTACTGTGTGGTTCCACCCCCACACGGTCAAGCTCAGGGACAGGAAGTAGAGACAGAGGCTGCTCGGAGCTGGGGTCGGGGGACGCGTGGAGTTATCGCTGAACCGGAATGAGGTTTTAGTTCGGGAAGATGACGAAGCTCTGGAGGGGTACGATGAGGATGCTGCGCACCACGATGTACTCACTGCCCCTGAACTGTACACTTAAAACTGGCTACGTATGTTTGATCGTCATTTAAAAACAGAAAAAAATCAATCCCTAGCTAAGATCACACTTAAAAGGGCTAAATGTAAATTATGCATGATTCGGCAACAACCAAATGACTCGAGTACCGAATGGAGAAGTCCTGGCTTATGAAACCAAGAGATCAGGCGGTTCTGGTGAGCCATACATACAGGGGAGTCTGCAGGGTGTGCGGTGACGGCTGGAACCAAAACCCAGTTTCAATCCCCCGAATCCTCCTTTCCTAATTAGTTCCTGCATTCTGAATGGATAAGGCCCCACAGAGGGCAGAGTCTCCTCAACTAGAAGAAATCACCGTGGAAGAGGAAAGAGAGCACTTTAAAATACGTAAAAGATGCCATGTGCGAGAGGCATATGGGCACGAGACTAATGGATAAAATAAACAGAGAGTAAAATGCCAGGTTCAAAATAAGAGCGACTATGACAAAGCAGCCGACTAACACAATCTGCCTCCTCTGGAAGCTGGAGCTCCCAGGTCCTGGGCACATCCAAACCAAGACTACCCTGGACACAGACCAGCAAAGGGCGGGAGCCCACGGATAGCTGAGCTGGATGGCAGGCCACGCAGCTGCCAGCTGCTGCCATTTGGGAAGGTGGGTGGCAACGACTTCGACCTGGAAAAGGGAGAAAACTGACTAACACTGACTTCCGTCCATGAGATGTTTTGTTTGGTTGGGGGAAAATATGGTGGAGACTTCACTATTACTTCTTAAAAATAATTTTCCTTTATCAAAGAAAGCACGAGAGGAGGGACTAAAAGATCTCCTGCTGGGCTGCAAGATGGTATGGTAGTTAAGGTGCTAGACTCCCACATGGCCAACCGCAGTTCGAGTCCCACCCAGAAATGGTGGCTTGCTTTCTCACTTTCTCTCTCCTGCTAGCTCTCTTTGGTCAAATTTTAAAAATAATAATAATAGGAAGCAGCAAATGGTGGGATGGTTATGTCCCTGACTCCTGTGTAGTTCACTGCAGTTCGCATCCCAGTCCTGGTAACTTAAAACTCACGCCATGTACATGTGGGTGCGTGGGGACTGCGGCATGGCCATCCCCTGAGGGGTGACTTCTCGCTTTCTGTCTCTCTGGTGAGCGCATGTGCCGTATAACAAAAATCTCTCCAAAAATAGTAATAGTAATAATAAATGAATTGAATAAATCTTTTAAAATAAAGCTCTCCTGTCATTAACAATTGCTGAGTGTGTAGAATGGGGTCATTACTCCCTCCACGATGGCAAGAGCTTGGAGGATCCATGTCTCGCCATTTGTCTCCCTCCACCCCAGTAGGTCTGGACATAAGAGAAGTGTGGTTGAAATCAATGCCCCTTAAATGGAATGATAGCTTATATTTGTTCTTCTCTTTTATGAAAGCAAGAGTTTGTAAGTGACAATTTTTAAATAAGTACAGGGCCTCCTTTCCATTAAGGGTCCATGACTCAAAGAATATATATTTTTAATTATTTTATTTAACTTTATTTATTTATGTATTTATTTTAATTTGACCAGAGAGGGACAGAGAGAGAG